ACATGGTTCCGGGCAAGCCTATGTGTGTTGAGAGCTTCTCTGATTATTCTCCTCTGGGTTGTTTCGCTGTTCGTGACATGAGGCAGACAGTTGCTGTGGGTGTCATCAAAGCCATGGACAAGAAGGCTGTTGGAGCTGACCAGGTTGCCAAGTCTGCCCAGAAAGCTCAGACGGCTAAATGAATATTATCCCTAATACCTGCCACCCCAGTCTTAATCAGTGGTAGAAGAACGGTCTCAGAATTGTTTGTCTCAATTGGCCATTTAAGTTTAATAGTAAAAGACTGGTTAATGATAGCAATGTATCATAAAATCTTCAGAAGGAAAGGAGAATGTTTTGTGGACCTTTTTTTTGGTGTGTGTGTGGGTGGCAGTTTTAAGCTATTAGTTTTTAAAATCAGTACTTTTTAATGGAAAAAACTTGACCAAAAAAATCTGTCACAGAATTTTGAGACCCATTAAAACAAGTTTAATATGAGAGAGAGAGAGAGAGAGAGAGAGAGAGAGAGAGAGAGAGAGTGAGAGAGAGAGAAGTTCCCTCTCCCTGGTACTAACAAGAATGGAATATGAATAAAAAGAGAGCTGGTCAGAATTAGGATTTCCTAAAATGATAAAGGATATTAAGCTCTATTGTAATCAGTAGGATCAGGACTGTGGACCCCGAATCATAGGCAGTTGTGTGGTACTTTGCAGAGTATAGCTGACTCACGTATGAAAGTGATTCCTCTGAAATGAAAGCTCAAACAGCCAGCAGCTCTGATTGTGTAAGAACAGACCATGCTGACAGTCCAAAACCCAATCTGTATAAACTACTACAAATACCAAACTAGAAGGCTGGTGTGAGGCAGCATATGGAGAAAGAAAGGTGTATGAAATCATCTTAATCTGCAGAATGGAGTTAATGGAAGGAAGGGCAGGGCAGGCTCTACAGACACCTAATTCAATAAAAACGGGCTGATGGTGATAAAGCTATTTCAGTCTATAAATATTAACTAGGCAGTCACTTCAAATAGCTTTCAGACTATCACTACCATGAGGTAAATTTTAAATAAATATTTATGCAGACAATAACTGGAAAAGGCTTTTCTGAAGGGAATACAGTTATATGGTAAAAAAAAATATTTTCAAAAAAATATGGCTTTTTCTTCTTTTAGAGTCATAAAGCCAATAAAAATGGAAAGTGATGCAATCAAACATGCACGGGAACGGAGGCCAGGGAAGGCCTCTCTGTGATAGCCAGAAGAAAAGCCCGTCGGAATTACGTCACCTGCTTCATATGAAGTTCATGTGGACATCAGGCACACTTCATCCTGTCTGACAATCATTCTCCCATTTATGTCTGTGACACAGCCAGCACCCTGAAAAACCCACTCTGCTTCTTTTTCACTGCAGATGCGGCCCCCATGTCGAGAAAGTGATATGCTTATTATCAGACAGTTTGGCTTATGAGGTTTCTAAGCCATTAGGGGTTTATAAGAAAACGTGCTACAAATTCAAATAAAGGGAGAGATCTAAAACAGCAGAGTGGCTTCTCTGGCAAATGCTGAAAACAGAAGAATGGCTAGTGTAGAATACCCAAGTCCGTGAATGAAGACTGTGTTAGGCTATGAGCAGAGCCTTGTATAACATGGGGTTGCCATCATTTTTTTGGAAAAGCAATTATTTATATGGTATGTTCCATTCTCAGAGGTTTAATGAGGCTTCTGAAAGTAACCTGTGCTTTCCACAGCCTCTTAGATTCAGTTCTCATACTCTGAGTGAGTCCTCAAAGTCTTTGGAGGAAGGGTAGGAGCTGGAATCTCCAACAAGACTTTGTTGCACAGAACAGGAGGTCTTTCAAAGAGCCCTGGTTCTCAGGATCGATGTTCACATGCCAAAGAACTTGCCAGATGCAGAGATTTCCAGGCTAGCTAGCTATATCTGATACTCTAGCCTTCACACACAGCCTGAAATTCTGAAACTCTGCTTCTTAGGTTACGTATGTATGTATGTATGTATGTATGTATATATGTATGTATGCATACAAGCGTTTTGCTTACATATATGTAAGTGCACCTATGTCATGCAATACCCACAGAGGTCAGAAGAGGGTGTAGGATCCTTTGGAACTCAAGCTGTGGATGATTTTTAGGCACCACATAGATGCTGGGAACTGAGCCTGGGTCCTCTCCAGAAGCAGCCAGTGCTCTTAACTACTGAGTTCTTTTATGTTCAACAGCTCATCTTCTACCCTCCCCCAAAATATCATGGGATATAATATTTACAAAAACAATTTATATCTTCACTGCCACTCAGTTTAATCACAGAGCTTTCTAGAGGCCCTCCAGTTCCAACCACTTCCCCAGGATCAAAATAGGGGCACACAGCCGTCTACACAGCTATTTAAAATATTTCCCTCCAACCCACAGGCTTCAACTGTTGTAATCATTATTACAGACAGCCTTAGAAAGAGAATCCTGCTCACATCTCACAGCAAGAGAATTAAGAAAAATCAATAAAATGAGCAATAAATATTATGGTTCAATCCAATAAGAACACACTTTCAACTGAGAAAATATAAAAACTGACTCTTACTAGTAGATTTTAGCTAATGTTTGCTAATGTTTATTAGTCTACAAGAAACATCTTCATGTTGTTTATGTTTTAGAAAAACATTTTCACCTTGGTCAGTTTAACTATAACATTAGTCCATCATCATTATTATATATGGTCATACTTCTTCAAGAATAATGTTCACAATTATTAGTCGCTTTTTTGAGCCAGGCCCTTGAACTGCATGACCCTTTTTAACCCTTGTCTAATCCTTGTGAGTCCCTCTCTAAGTCTGGTAGTGTTACCCCATTTTATGTCATGTGGGTGGGTGACTTCAGCCACTCCCCCGGGGTCTCCCAGCTAGCAAAGGGAAAACTAGAGATGGACCTGAGTCGCTCAAGTCTTCCGTCTGCCTTCTTCCCACCTCACTCCACCTCAAGGCCTCCTCAAGCATTCTTTGGTTCAAACTGTTTCTGGAACCCTTAAAAGTAGCTAGCCATAAACGTTAAGTGGAACGCGAGGATGATGGTCTCTCCGACAAATGTGGCTAGCAGCCATCATGACTTGCTTGCTGAAGACCATGTAAATGCTTTAGTCACCTGGACAGAGTCCCTGATGCAGGGTAAGGTTTGCCGATTTCATGGCATTCTCAGCTGTGGAAGTTGCTTGAACACTCAATCAATCTCCCACTGTTAAATGACAGAGGCAAGACAAGCTTAATCAAAAACAGTACTATCCCCCAACTGCCTGAACTCACTCATAGCTCTACCTCTGCTTTTCCAACCCATAGTGGCTTGGGCACTGTCTACAGGTCACCCTAGAACTATGCTTGTCATACTACAGCTCAGCTCTGAGAAAGGACTGCAAGAAAAATAAAGAAAAAAGAAGGCAGACGTGACACGGAGGCCATTTGTATTGGCAATCCCTGGAAGGAAGCGGCTACATTCAGAGCACTGGGCATTCCACTTCTGATACCACCAATCTTTGATCCCCATTTTCAAGTGTAATTTTAATGCTTGTATTGGAAAGTTTTCAGAATAAGCATACATAGTATTTTATTTTACCTTGCAGAAACACACATGCACATACACACATACATATGTGGGAAAAGAAAGGCTAGATATTATTTCTTCCATATAATCTGTAAGCTCTAGAAAGACTACGCGTGTGTTCAGAAGTGAGAGCCTTTGTTCTCCCCTCCCCTGCTGCTTTCTCTAACACGGGAGCAACGAGTATTTTTAAAAGACTTCAAAGTAGTAGAAAAAGAAAAAAAATTAAATTAATGATTTGTTTCAAAAGCAAAATTATTTAAACAGAGGAATAGATAAAAGCATCTCAGAGTCTCAAAAGACCTAGTTTTGAGCACTCATAAATTTAGTAGTTATGCACATGTAAAAATAATTTCAGGTACTCCATCCACCGAGAGAGCAAAGTTTAATTTTAAGAAACAAAAGCAAGAGTGGCATAAACTAACGGAGCACAGTACTCTAATAACGTTTTCAAAATACTGAACAGCAACTAATAATAATAACAATAATGCCTGATGCTTTTTGAGCGCTTGCAGAGATCAGACAAGAGCTGACTACCTGCTTTAATCTGATAAGCTTCGAATTATCAAAGCGGCCCAGTGACAGGCTGCTTTTCTCCTTGTTTCACAGCTGAAGAAACAAGACTTAGAAAGGTTGGCTAATGTGACGAAATGGAAGCATTGAAGCTTAAAATTTTTTGTCTTATGCTAAAACCAAAATTAATATCATTGAAATGTGCTAAATTGACTTGTACGAACAGCACCTTCTGGAGAAAAACATGGCTTAGGGATGGGCAAGAAACTGAGCTGCATAGCAGCTTAAAACAGCATGCACAAGACAAAGCCCAGCACAGGGGGAGGTGGGCAAGAAGGCCCAGTGCTAGCTGAGGATCTACTGGCATTTGATAGCTGCTGGGAAAGGAAGAGTCAGTTTTAGGGACAGGACACCAAGTAAGCTGACCAGGCTCCAGGGAATGCTCACACGTGGAGGGCATTTGAGGAACACAAATTAACTCTGTAGGCCTTAAAAAAAAAAAAAATAGAGGACATTAAGTTGGAGGGCAGCAGGGAGAGAGTCTAAATATGATCAAAATACACGATAGGAAATTCTCAAAGAATCAACAGAAATATTTTTAAATTAAAACTAGCAAATATAAAAACATTTTTAAATTAAAACTTCCACTAAAAATGTGGAAGAGAAAAGAGTAAACTACATATTAATCCCTAGGATAGAGGGACCATCCTTGAATTTCACAGAGTAGAAATCCCACCAACATTTTCCTCTGATCCCCTTTAAAACCTTTATCTCTGAATTTAAAATTTCCCACACTCTTCCTTCTTATACATAAAGCAGATTATGCCAGTCTTTAGAAAAGGATATACGTACACCATAGCTTTCTAGTCACACTGAGAATAGACAAGGCTGTAACTCTGAGCCATACCTTGGTCTTCATAAACTTGGAGTGACTCTTGTACACCTCAATCTGTTTGATCTCTTCCTCACGGTCCTCAGTGTTGAGCACACCATTGGCCTTCAACATCTGGATCTCATCCTCAAGATCCCGTATGTTTCGCTCCAATGAAGCGATTTTTGTGTCCTGTCGGTAAGAAAGACAGAAAAAGAAATTTGTTCTTGTTGTTTTTTCATCATTGTCAAAACAAAATTTAAGAAAGAGTGAAGTGATACATTAACTGCAGAACTAGCCTCGGATTTGAGGTGTATGTTTTCATTTCTGAGGCTCATTTGTAAGGTGGCTGTCTGAACGCTCAATGACCATCATGTGTCCACACAATACAGAGAGTAAACCACACGTGTTCCACTAATGTCCCCAAACCAAATTCCAAACAACAGTGATTGGAAAAAAAAATATTGTAAGTGATCAAATTTGTTGTAATTTGGGATACAGTTAACCAGGGTACATTTCTTTGTAGTCCACTTATAAGCACAAATGCAGTTTGTTCATGTTTGTGTGTATACTCTGTGGCTGCTTTTACAAGGCATGTTTGGAATTTGACTCTAAGAAGGCAGGAAATTCAAACCTACTAATGGAGAGGAGGATTCGCATCTGAAATACAGGCATAAGTGAAATTAAATAACTGAATCCTGACTTAGTATGACTGATACGCTAAATATTGAAAATTTATAACAACTGGAAATAATATATCACAACATCATGATTTATTTGGCGAGCAGTCAGGTCCCTACGTGACAAAAAACATGACTACCTCACAAGCCATCTCTGACCTATTGATTTACAGACCCCCAAAACTAGAAATATTACATTCAGATGTGGGATTAATTGAGAAAAAACACACAGTGACAGACTGTATACACGAGAGTGCAGAACAAGAAAGGATGCTTTAGAAAGTATAGACGACAGGACTCTTACAGGGGAGTCCGACAAACAGCAAAAATCCACTGCCCTAGCTTCCAGAAGGAGACACAAAGCAGCCAAAGTCTGCTTTAGGCCTCCTACTGCCACCATCTACCTGCCATTATATTACAAACAAACAAGGTGCCTGGGTCAAATTTGATGTCGAATATTAACGAAAATTAGCTAATAAGTCTCCTCTAATTAACTTACTTTTTTAAGAACCTGAAAGACTAATTCTAAAAGTAAACACAACACATGGCTCTTCTGTTACTAATTCAGTTTTTTAAATGCTACGCCAAATTTGCATGCCCTCTCTGTGGCTACTGTCTATTTTGCTCTTCTATACCACATGTCCAGGGCTACCTCATGTGGCAGTATAATAGCAATTATTATTATAATCAGCGATGTAATGATGAACACAGAAGGAAGCAGAAGAGGCTCAAGCACCACCGGGCTCTAGAATGTGGCCAGAACCAAGTACTCCCGATACGGTAGGCATGCCCCTTAATTCTCGGGAAAATCCATGAAGGTAAAATGAAAAGACTGAAATTTTCAAAACTCTAATGAAAACCCACATCTTGTAGCTTTATTTTTCTTTAAAAGTAGTAAGTATTGTGTTTTTCCAATAATAAAAGCAATATGCTTTAAATTCATTTTAAAAGGCCTACCAAATCTAATCTGTTTCCCACGTGCTCTTGGGTGAGGGTCTGTCTCCTGGCGTATGGCCAACCTATTCACACCAATAAGGAAAACCGACTCTCCCTCTCCCAGTAGCTCTCAGCTGCCAACAGATCCACAGCTAGGGCTAGGGCTTCCTGCTCTCCTCCCCCATCCATGCAGGGCCCCACTCTGTCTTGGGTTTCCACAGGTCTATGCATGTTGTCATAAGCATTGTGGGTTCACATGTGTAGCTACTGTGTGGTGTCCAGACAACACAGTTTCCTTATGGTCATCAACCATCTCTGGCTCTTACAATCTCCCCCCCATCCCTGCAATTATCTCTGAGCCTTGGGAGGACGGAGTGTGATACAGGTGCCCCATTTAAGGCTGAGCACTCTGCAGTCTCTTATTCTTTGCAAGCTGACCATTTGGGGGAGAGGTCTCCATGTTAATCATTGTTCGCTGCCAGAAGAACCTTCTCTGGTGAGGGTTGAGAGATGCATTCAGTCTATGGTTTGATAAGGAAGCTCTAGGAGAAAAATACAAGGGGAGGTACAAAGTGACTCGTTTCAGGGCTGAGTTACAAAAAAGAAGAGGCGGAGGAGAAGCAGCAATGCAGTGATTAAGAGTATGAACAAAACCTCTCAAGTTCATAATAATCTTCTAAAGTGAGAGTCATTTTAATCAACACATTTTCCTGACTATAAAACTGAGACATGCTCAAGGCTGTTAAGAATCTGGGAAATTATACAATTATGATTAATGTTTTTAGTGATTCCCATGCAGACTTAAGATTATATAGTTACCCTAAAATATACCAAAAAAAATTAAAAACTACATGCTGAGGACATAGCCCAGTCCATAAAGCACTTGTCTTATAAGCACAAAGACATGAGTTTGACCCTCTAAGTCCACACGACTAGGCATGATGGTGGGGACATGGAGACAGTGGCTCACTGTGCAGCTCGCTGACTAGCCAGCTTATTCTACTTGGTGAGCCCCAGGCCAGTGAGAGATCCTGTTCTGAAAAACAAGCTGGATGACACCTAAAGGACACCACCTGAGGTCGTCCTCTGGCCACTACATCCAAGCATGCACATGTGCACTCTCATGTGCCCACACACTTGTACCCACACACATACACATAAAAAATGCTGATCAACTATACAGATTCCCTCTGTTGATACACAAATTGGCATTGATGAGACTCATGAGTAGCTAAGTAGAATCATTAAGAGTTCATACAGGCCAGGCATGGTGCCACACAACTTTCATACCAGCACTTAGGAGGCAGAGGCAGGCAAATCTCTGTGAGATGAAGGCCAGCCTGGTCTACATAGCAAGTTGCAGGCAAGCTGGGGCTAAAGGGAGACCCTGATGCAAAACAATGACAATAAGAACAAAAAGAGTTTGCCCAAGCTAAGTACAATCTTTATAAAAGTTTAGCTGTAAGTTAATTGTGGACATAAGAGTCAGTGCCCTTGCTTTTTCTCTTATATAAAAATCTCAAGATTTCAGAACTATGACCACCTTTCTGTCATTAAGGACATATGTGCACACAGCAGTATATTTTCAGTTCTCATATCTTTGACCTTAACTTTTTAATCTGTCTGGTAGAATTTCAGGTCTCAATCATGTAGGCAAGAGAGGAATTCACTTCATTACAAGCCTGCAATTTTGCTCCAAGACTGCCCCTGAGGCTCTAGCTAGAAATGATCATAGCTAACAATTTCTAAATGGATTAGAAAGAACCTTTTCATCCGATGCTCACACAATTAAGGAAAAACCAGAATGGGTCAAAATAGAAAATTCATTACCAGAGCAAAACTTCTAGACCTAAATCCATCTGAGTTGAAAGCTTGACAAACAATGAAACAAAATACTTCTTATTTCAATAATTTTCTTAAATTAGCCACATTTTTCTTTTTCTTTATAAATTTGTTTTTCCTTTAGCCATAGGCTTCTCAAAGTAAAAATGAAAAAGGGATAATAAAAAATAAAACAAATGGAACAAATGGATACTCTGCAAGTATATATTTATTCTATCTTTGTTTATACTTTTGTTTCTATATAAGGAATTCACTTTAAGGGTAACAAAAAATATTTCTAAAATCAAGAACACAGATAAACATAAATGGGTATACACAATTGGAATCTACAGCAGAGGACAGATACAAAGTACAGAGATGTAGTGGGAGTTTGGGTTGTGTCCAAGATATTCAAAGTCAAGCCAGAAAATAACAAAACTGAGTCTAAAAATCAAACAAAAAGGCTGCCTGGTTCCTCATCGCCATCACATCCCCTAACTCCAAGAATCCAGGGAGAAATGTTTTCTTTTATTGCAAAAAGAATCCTTGAGGCTACAATATATGATTGAAAATTCATGTAAGTCTCAATCCTGCTGTGGCTACAAGTGTATATTAGTATTCTCTTTGAAAACAGACCCAAATGCATATGCTCAACAATGCTAAACCATGGTCTAGAATAAAGACCAAAAGTTTCAATGATGACACGTAACATCGTAAAGCACAGAGTTCTGGAAGGCAGAGGATCACTGTACACTGCCATTACCTGAACACATTACAGTTACTACTAATGACTGGTATTTTTAAATACTTTGTTGTGATTTTTCAAACACGTCTTGACTGTTTCACAAATAAACAGACTCTGGAAGCACATACTTTAGATACTTCCTTAGAGACAAGGAAATAAGACACAATAGAGAGTAACCCGTAGTGCCCCCACAGCTTTGTGGCAGGGAGGCAGCAGGGTCAGGTAAGTCTGAGGAAACCTGTTAGAGATATGCAGAGCACATCACCTGTCACAGCTCTGTGAAGTCCTGGGACAAAGTATTCACTCATTTTACCCCAATATCATTGCCTCTAGATGTCATTTCTTTAAAAACTAATTGGGTATGGTTCAATTGGTAAATGCTTGTCCCAAGAACATGGGAACCTGTGTTTGGATCCCCAGGACCCACCATTCAAAGGATGGGCATAGTGGCATTCATCTGTAATCCCAGCACTGGGGAGGCAGAAATAGAAGGATCTCTGGGAATTTCTAGCCAGCAACCTTAACCAAATAAGTGACCATCAGGTTCAATGAGAGACCAGGTCTCAAAAACATAAGGTGAAAAGCAATCAAGGAAGACACAAGACACTGACTTCTGATAATGATAATGTTCAACTTAAATTTAGAACTCAATGAAAAAGCAAAACAATAATTTTGATTTATCAAAGAAAAGCTTTCCACAATTATCTCAATTTAAAATTAGTAGGGCTTGCCCGGCATGGTGGCATACACCTTTGATCCCTCCCGCTCGGATTTCTGTGAGTTCAAAGCCAGCTCAGTCTACATAGAGAGGTCCAGGCTAGCTGGGGTTACAGGGAGACCCTGTCTCAAAAAGACCTAAACAGTACATCAAAGGAGACAACCAAGGAAACAAACAGAAAATCCACAGAATGGGAGAAAATCTTCAACAGTGACACATCTGATAGAGGTTTAATTACCAGAATATATAACGAACTTAAAAAACAGAGAACCAAGACAAGAAGCAACCCAAT